GTTGTGTGTTTTTGTGTTTGTTTTTTGGTTGTCTTTTTTTGGGGGGGGCGTGCAGGGGTGCAGGGGATGGTTCATTTTAGCAGTGTTGCTCTCCAGAGATTTTCACATCAAAATTACTAGAAAGGTTTTTGAGTTATACTTGAATTTCACCTTCTACAGATTCTGAAACAGAAGGTTTGGGATGGGGTTTTCTAGCATGTATCCATTAAAAATACATAAATATATAGACTACACAGAGTCTCACTTGAGAATCATTACTAGAGTATCTTACCTCTGGCTGATTTAAAAAAAAAAAAGGTAAACATCTATCTTACTTCTTTAATGTCCTGAGGTAAAGATCTGCTAATGCCTTTTAGGTGTGTTTTGAAAGCATGTAACATTTGTATCAGAAAGCCTTTTAGTGGCAGGCGCTATAGAATTCTAGTTTGAAGCCAGCATTCTCAGGTCATCGAAGGTGTTTACCTTTGAAAGGTGTTTACCTTTGGTTTTTGAAGGGCATTCCTTTGATGAAGTTTCCTTCTTACAGTGGCCAAAAGTTGATTTTCTTGTACTATGTGGTTTTTCTGACTTTGCCTAGATTTTTGTGATGCCCCTGTCCAAATCTAATAGTTGTAAAGATGTTTAATAGTAATAAAGAATTCCTTTCTCTCAAAGATTTTATTTTCTGTTTCCAGTGGCTTGATTAAACTGGTGTCCCAGAATTTCTCCTATGGAGTCAGTGAGATGTATAAAGCCTGTTTTCTCAGTGCAACAGTGAAGCACCTTCAGAAGTTTATCCCTGAAATTACTGTCCGTGATATACTTAGGTAAGACAAAGCCATAAGGATTGTAAGTACAGTCAGGGTTTTAGGGAACCTGGGAGGTGGGTCTGACTTGGTGATTCACAGGCTCCCTTTCAGTCGGTGTGCCCACTGAATCTTTGTGTGCTCTCTCTTTCCCAGCAAGTTGTTGCGTTCCCTTTGCAGTGCATGAGTTGGGCATCGCTGCATGGTGTCCCTTAGTGCTGGAACTACGTCTACCATATATAATAATCTAGACTACCTTACAACATTAAACTGAAATCTCCATTGCATCTGTATTAATATGCCACCGTCACCTTTGTGTCCAGCTATCACTCATGATAAAAATAATCTTGTCTGAAATTTTTTCAAAAAGATTTTTTATTGACTTTTAGAGAAGGAGGGAAGAAGGGTGGGGGCTGGGAGGGAGAGAGAAACATCAATGTGAGAGCGAAACAACGGAGAACCATGTGGCTGCCTCCTGCACGCCCCCTACTGGGGATGGAGTCTGCAACCCGGGCATGTGCCCTGACCGCGAATCGAACCGTGACCTCCTGGTTCACAGGTCGATGCTCAACCGATGCTCAACCACCGAGCCCGCCAGCTGGGCTCTTGCCCCCTAATTTTAAAAGTAGCTCCCATCTCTTTCAAATAACGATGAAACTAAGACTAAACTCTCCTTACGTTGCTTAAAGCATCGCCACCGGAATTCACCCCCAAGGCCAGGTGTCCAGTCCCTGCTAGGGGCCTAGGACCTGGCTTCTCTGAGGCCATTGCCAATGGGGGAGGTGGAGAGGGAGGGGGAGGGGAAGGGGGAGGGGAAGGGTTCACCAGGGACCCGCTCTTTTTCACCTGAGAACCCTGCCTTCATCTGGGACCCTCTGCTCCTGGGACCTCCTCCTTTACCTGGGGATCCCCCCAGGGCCCCCATCATTCACCTGGGACCCATCTCTCCTCCAGTAGGAATTCACCCAGGGCCCCTCCTTCCCCAGAGGCACCCATTCCGCTCTGAGAGGGCCCTCAGGGCCTCCGAGGGGAGGAGCCGCAGCAGAAGCAGAAACCCTTCCCCACAAGCCGGAGGCTGCCCTTCAGTGCCCAAGTGCCAGCCAGAGCTGCCCCCCCTCTCCTCCCCCCACCCTGAGGTCACAGCTCCAGCCCCTGGCCACCTGCAAACCCCATTCATGCTCTGGCACCTAAGACTTGGACGTGCTCCCCCTCCCCACGGCCAGGACCCTCCCAGGTGTGGCCTACCCCGCGGACCCTCTTGAGATCACCTCAACCCCTCCCTTCCCCTTTAATGAAAACATTGGCGATCTGGAGACCGTGTAGGCCCTGGTGAGTCAGAACGCCACCCAGAGAAGCCAAACAAATGTTGCAATCTGGGCGGGAGATCTGGGAGTCTGTCTGCCCCTAAACTGTCCAGAAGCAGGACAGGCAGAGGCGGGAGGGGGGCCCTCCCGTTCCCACCCCTTCCCACTCCCCACCCGCAGCAGGGGACAGGCGCCAGGGGGCTCCGTGGCCAGGAGCAGGCAGGAGTGGGGAGCTGGATTGGGTCCCCGTATGGCCCAGAGAAGGGCTCCTGTCCCACGTCCTGTCCACAGCGGCCGAGCAACTGGGCACAGGTGCCCACGGCTGGGCAGGGGCGCTCTCCAGGGTCCCCTTCCCCCTCCGTACAGTAGGGGCTCCAGCATCAGGCTGCTGGGTGGGGCAGGCAAACCAAGCCTCCCGGCCCTGCCCTCCCAACCCCCGAAGAACCTCACCCTGGCCAGGGCCTCCTGCTGCTGGGGGCTCAGGTCCCCGACTCGGCCGCTCATGGTGCCTGAGGGCGCCCGCTTTTGCCGCTCAGGGTGCTCCCTGGGCCTGGTTTTGCCCCTGAGGTCAGGTGCTGGTCCCGCCCCCGAGGGCGGGAGAGCCCGGGTCTGCCCCGCCCGGTCCCGCCGGATGGTTTCCCCTCCCCTCTGGGATGTTTGCCACCGTCTGTCCCCAAGATGCGCCCTAGCCTGGGCCAGGAGGTAACCCGCCCCCAAAGGGGCCCCAGAGCAGACTTCAGTGAGGGCAGCAAGCGCCCCCCCACCTCCAGGCCTCCTCTTCCCAGGGGCTCCCACAGGCTCCCACAGGGCAGGGCAGGTGGGGAGGGCACCAAGGGCACGGGCAAGTTTCAGGGATCCCCTTCCAGCAAAACGGGGGCGCTTTTAGGAACGTGGTTCAGCCCTCGGGCTGGCCCCCAGGCCTTTCTTCCCAAGGGGCCCCCCACCCCTTCCCCTGACCTGGAACTCAGGCTACACCCTGGCCGTGCTCACCCGCTGATAGGACAGCCCTTGTGTGCAGAGTGGCTGCAGCCTCAAGATGGTCTGGAGGATTAACCGGGACGCCCGCTGGGGGGCCTGCCTGGCACCGCACACCCTGCCCGTGTTGGCTGGGAGGAGGAGGCCGTCGCTGTCAGCAGAGCAGCAAGCTGCCAGGGTGAGGTTGGGGG